TAAACTTGAATATTAGAATTTTCGAAATTTAATTTGTAATTAAACAATTATTAAGTATGGATTCAATAACAATTATCTTCATAATTAATATCATTATTTAGAAAAAAATTTAATCATACAGCCTCCCTCAGTAAATCAACTAATTTGGATTTAAACAATAGTTGCAAATATTCAGAATTGATCTATTCTACTAATTGCTACAATGGCTTTTCTGATTGTTCTTGGAATACTCATAAAAAATAGTGTGTTGACATGGCCTGTTCTGATATCGAACATTGTATTTAGTCATCGAATCGAAGTTATTGGCTCAATAAGTAATGTCATGATTTTTACATTCTGTAAAGCCATTCCAGGAAAAGATCAATCTGAATGCATTGCAGCCAATATCTACTTTCCTGCTTAAAATGGAATTAATTGTTTGTCCATGGAATATCTATAGAAGTGTTCAGATATAAAGGATCCAGACATTTGTAATAATTCTTTTTCTCCACATGGTAAGCATATAATCATGTAACGAATTGTGGACCAATAAAACTAAATCTTGTTTGCTATTTCGATGCTCAATCCTACATTTGTAAAGATATGACATGTTCAAGATAAAATATGGAATCTTAATGCCAATTTGGAGCTCCAACAATAGGTCCATATTGATAATTAAGAAACCATAGTTTTAATCACAAATAATTTAATTCCATGCGAATGGAATATAATTATAGTTATAGAAATCAAGTAATTATACTTAAACAGGATAGTCTAAAGAAGCCAATCCTGATAATTTTAATTCTAATAAATGTTATAGTAATAGTGCAAAGACATATCACTGGAGTAGTAACAAGTCTCATACATAAGTTCCGTATTCTCTATTTTCATTTAAATCCTATTACTATGGTAACTAATTTTCAGGAGATATGCCAAATATAAATTGATATCACAATATTAAAGAATTAATTTTTCTTATGATTAGTTAATCTTGAAAATTCAAGAGGTATTTACATTTTCAAATCAAAAAATTCTGAACTAATTAATTCGCTAAACGAATTTGCCCTATTATTACTTTTAGAGTTATTTAATATTGCTATTTTAATTATTACTTTATTTTAATTTTCTCATTTTTCAATTAATCAATTTCTATTAATAATTAATTATAAAAAATCTGCTTTTGAACAATTTGAATTGTTAAATTTAATAATAATTTATTATTTTTAATTATTCCTTCAAATTATTGATTATGAAAAGAAATTTATTAAGTTCATTTAAATCCACACTAGTTTAATTTATTTTATATGATTCGAATTAAAAATTTCCCCCAAAAAAACAGTTTACCTAATGAAATTAATATTATTAGATTAACAATTTTCTCAAGTCTTTTTTGATACGGAATAAATCGATTTAATATTTGAATCTACAAAACTTATTTATTATTATTAAAATATCATCTTCTTCTTTTAATTTGATGAAAAATCTTTAATATTTATTTAATTAATTAAAAAGTATTTATTGGTGATTAAATGAATTGCTCTGATCATCCATAAAATCCAATAACAGTAATTTGTGTAGCAAAGCATGAATGCTAAAGAAAGCTATGTGCATAGTGTGCATATGAACATAATGTTGAGCTTCAATAATTATTACCTATTATGTTATTTTAAGATCAACTCTAAAATAAGTTGAAAGAATTTAAACTTGAAGATAAGAAATAATTGGATTAATCAAGACTGAGTTTTAAATCTCTGTTGAGTGAAACTGAAAAAATGCTATAAACATTGTGGGCAAAATTTTATTCATCAATCAATTATTTATGACATGATTGAACAATAAGACTAGAAATATTTAAATTTAATTAAATTTGATATACCCCCTTCAGAAGTATCATATACTTAGCTGGAGTTAATGGTTAATATTTTGTAAGAAGGTATTTTAAATAATTGGAATTCATTAAAG